TGCCGTCCTTTGAAATAAATTCTTCTGGGGGGGGGGGCAGGTGTGCATGTAGTAGTTGGGATTAGGGCCGGCCCCTCCAAAGCTCTTTCTCATACACCCATGAGTCTCCCTGGATTTGTTTCTCTAGTCCACCTGGACTCACACAATTTCTTTTAGCATCTCCATTTGTTTTCTTTCCCCCGTGGCAAATGTACGCGCTAGGAGTCCCACTGACACCGTGTGTAAGGGCTCTTCTGCTGCCTGGAAAGTCTGCGGCTCCAACCCTCCCTCCTGGCAGTAGCAGCTCACCAGGATGAAGGCCCGACGGCATGGTCTCACAGGGAGCATGATGCCCATGGGGCAGGTTTTCTCCGTCTGACAGAGTGGCTTGGAATCGGGATTGGCCATAGGCTCACAACAAGGGCAACAACAACAAAGGTGTAGGCAACACGGCACTTGCCATCTCGACAGTCCTGGCGCATCCGTCCAGGTCAGATTCTCATGAGGACTGCTGAGCCATTTTCCCCACAGAGCAAGATCCCTTCGTGCTGACGCACGCTCACGTCATTGTACCAAGGGTCCCGATTCACACTGCCTTCAACTCCAGGGAATTCCTGTTATGGGGAAGGTGGCAGAGGCACACTTTCTCACGTCGTCAAGCCTCACAAGGGCAATTCCCAAAGCCAAAGTCTTTCTGACTCCCCATTCCATTGCCTGGACAGTCCCCCATAGACCTGGATGCTCTCCAATAGAGGCGAATGCTCCCCCATAGACCTGGATGTTTCCTTATAGAGGCGAATGCTCCCCTATAGACTCAGAGGTTTCCTCATAGAGGTGAATGCTCCTCCATAGACTTGAATGCTTCCCTCATAGAGGTGAACGCTCTCCTATAGACCTGGATGCTCCCCCATAGAGGCGGATGCTCCCCCATAGACCTGGATGTTTCCCTCACAGAGGTGAATGCTCCCCTATAGACTTGGATGCTTCTCTCATAGAGGTGAACGCTCCCCTATAGACCTGGATGCTCCCCCATAGAGATGAATGCTCCCCCATAGACCTGGATGTTTCCTTATAGAGGCGAATGCTCCCCTATAGACTCAGATGTTTCCTCATAGAGGTGAATGCTCCCCCATAGACTTGGATGCTTCCCTCACAGAGGTGAATGCTCCCCTATAGACTTGGATGCTTCTCTCATAGAGGTGAACGCTCCCCTATAGACTTGGATGCTCCCCCATAGAGATGAATGCTCCCCCATAGACCTCCCCCATAGAGGTGAATGCTCCCCCATAGACCTGGATGTTTCCTTATAGAGGTGAACGCTCCCCTATAGACTTGGATGCTCCCCCATAGAGGTGAATGCTCCCCCATAGACCTGGATGTTTCCTTATAGAGGTGAACGCTCCCCTATAGACTCAGATGTTTCCTCATAGAGGCGAATGCTCCCCTATAGACTCAGATGTTTCCTTATAGAGGCGAATGCTCCCCATAGACTTGGATGCTTCCCTCATAGAGGTGAGCGCTCCCCCATAGACTTGGATGCTCCCCCATGGACGTGTGCATTCCCCTACAGGTAGACTTGGATGCTGCCCGGCTCCCAGTGGGGAGATGAGGGATGTGTAGCATTTGGTGTGGGCATGAGTGAGTGCATGGCTCCCAAAGTCCCTCACAGGCATCTCATTGGAGAGTGGTTAGTCATCCTGATGTCTGTCCCCTGCAGTGCCCACCAGCTGTCTGCTACCCGAAAGACCGAAGAACCACCGTTCAAAATAGTCGCTATTATAGAAATGGGACTTTAACACGCATTTTTAATACCTATGAACCAAAAAATCAAACGCCCCGCCATCAAGCTGATGTTAACTCACAGCCACCCCACAGGGCAGGGTAGAGCTGCCACTGTGAGTTTCCCGGACTGTCACTCTTTGTGGGAGTGGCCAGCGCCTTCATTGTCCCGTGGAGCTGCTGCTGGTTTCAAACTGCTGACCCCCACACTGACTACATCTGTGGGGAGAGATGATGAACGAGCTCAGGGTCATCAGTCAAAGCCAAGAATCGGATGGGACTGGGGAACAGACCACCCACTGAGGCTGTGCACGTTTAGGTGGCAAGGAGAGAAATTAGATCAATTTCTCTGCGTACCACAGTGCAACCGCTAGGAGACCCCCGGATTGAGAGACCAGGGCCGGTCCAGACTGGATGCACTGAACGTGGATAGCTGAGGACCCAGAGGTGTTGTGGGAGAGCACCCAGCCCACCTCCGCGAGAGAGCAAGACGTCGCTGCAGAGACAGTGAGCAAGGGGAGGGGA